GTGAATGCATCATGTGTGATCGACAATTGGTAAAACTTAAAGTTTTTCTTAACTCCTAGATTCCATGCCACACATATACTAATAGCTACTTATTTCCTAGAATGTGCCAAGCACTTCCCTTTCTATTTATTCAGCATTTCTTTACTGCCAGGCATCATGGTGGGTGCTGGGGGATATAAAGATGAGTAAGACGACACCATCTCCATTATAACAACATTATGAAGTAGGTAAAATCTTTCCCACTTTACATTTGAGGAACTGGAGGCTCCTATGGTCTAGCATCTTGGCTAAGATCAGACAGAGCTTGGGGAAATTGAGGTCTTACTCCACTTTTCTACTACTCCATAGTATACCCTATACTCTCAATACTTCCCTTTTTAAAAAGTAATATCCACCTGTAGTTTGTTTTTTACCTTAGATTTTCAAATATTGGGTTTTCAGAGGAATGGCACAATACAAAGAAATAAACAAAAACTTGTAAAACCTCTACCATTTAGTAGGACTTGATAGTTGAATTGGAGGCACTTTACCAAGTAATGCAAAGAAATGAACAATATTTTTATACAAAAATAGTAAATCCTAAGCAAGCTTTAAGTATCTGAGGCTTACTAAAAAAAACTGACAAAGTTCCTTTGGCCTGCCAAAAGTTAGAGGATTTTATTCCTAAGCAGTTTGTTTCCTAGACATGATTCTAATTACAAACAGAAGTTCCTTGCAGTCCTATGTAAAATTCTCGAGGAGATGGAAACAATAAGATTAAAAGATTCAAAGAATCAACAATTGCGTTGATTCTCTATTTAAACAAAACTAAACAGAAGGAAAAGGAAAAAAATGTTCTGGCTGAGCAAACTTGAGAGAAATAATAGAACTTCAAAAACAATTTTTGCTATCCCATTTCAAACATTCTTTCAGTAAAACAAAATTAACTCTTTAAAATTAACTTGATTCTAAAATTTAAATTCCTGGGGCGCCTGGGTGGCTCAGTCGTTAAGCATCTGCCTTTGGCTCAGGTCATGGTCCCAGGGTCCTGGGATCGAGCCCCACATCCGGCTCCCTGGTCCGCGGGAAGCCTGCTTTTCCCTCTCCCACTCCACCTGCTTGTGTTCCCTCTCTCTCTGTGTCTCTCTCTGTCAAATAAATAAATAAAATATTTAAAAATAAAAAATAAATAAAAAGTAAAATTTAAATTCCTTTCTTTGTTAGCTAACATAACTATACGCATTTTTTAATCTAGGAAAAAATAAATTTTTTTTTAAGATTTTATTTATTTATTTGTCAGAGACCAGAGCAAGCACAAGCAGGGGGAGGGACAGGCAGAGGCAGAGGGAGAAGCAGGCTCCCTGCTGAGCAAGGAGCCTGATGCGCAAGGAGCCTGAAGCAGACTCAATCCCAGGACCCTGGGATCCTGAGCCAAAGGAAGATGTTTAACCGACTGAGCCACCCACACATCCCTAAGAAAAAATAATTTATGTTAAAGCACAAAAATGCTACAAAGGAAAACAACTTCAGTGTATATAATCTTATAGGAAACTATTATAAATAGAACATAATAGCCTGTCATAGTTAATTTTTGTTACCAAGGTTCTCAGTACTTTTACCAAGATTAATCCCTAAATGTTGAAGAGCTAGATATGATATAAATCCAGAAGCTTAATCTTCCTTTATAACTTTAAAAAATCTGAAGATTAAAAATGAACTATTCAAAATATATGAAAATCTTTTTTTTAAAAAGGCGGGGGGGGGTGCCTGGGTGGCTCAGTCCTTTAAGCATCTGCCTTCAGCTCAGGTTATGATCTCAGTGTCCTGGGATCGAGTCCCACATTGGGTTCCCTGCTCAGCAGGGAGTCTGCTTCTCCCTCTCCCTCTGACTCCCCTGCCCACTTGTGCTCTCTGCCTCAAATAAATAAAATCTTTAAAAGTAAAATAAAATATATGTACATTTCTATAAAGGGGATTTTAATAATTGTTGTTTTTTAAAGACAGGCCAGTGAATACTTTGGCTCTCAAAAAATGCTTGTTGAGGGGTACCTGGATGGCTCAGTCAGTTGAGTGATCGACTCCTCGTATCAGCTCAGGTCATGATCTCATGGGTCTGGGTTGTGGAATTGAGCCCAGCATGGGGAGTCTGCTTGATATTCTCTCTGCCCCTCCCCTCTCTCTTTCTCTCTCTCTCTCTGAAATAAACAAATCTTTTATTTTTTTTTTAAAGATTTATTTATTATTTATTTTGAGAGAGTGAGAAAGAGAGAGAGAGTACATGAGAGGGGGAAGGGTCAGAGGGAGAAGCAGACTCCCCGCTGAGCAGGGAGCCCGATGCAGGACTCGATCCCGGGACTCCAGGATCATGACCTGAGCCGAAGGCAGTCGCTTAACCAACTGAGCCACCCAGGCGCCCAATAAACAAATCTTTTAAAAAAGATGTTTGTTGAGCCAGATGTAATAGAAGCATATTGCTTACCTGTGAGAAAAAAAAAAAAAACCACTAAAAATAGTATATGTACTTTTGGGTATAGAATAGATTTTTAGAAAATAGCAAGTAATGTTTTAGCTAAAACATAAACATCTTTAATTAATTCAAATATTCCGAATTCAATTATTGAGTTCCTACCAAGTACTGAGCACCTCCTCAAGACATTGAGTGTAACAGATCAGAAAATGGTCCCTTTCCTTAGAGCAGCAATGTCCACAATAGCCAAAATATGGAAAGAGCCCAATGTCCATAGACAGATGAATGGATAAAGATGTGGTGTATACACAGACACAGACACACACACACACACACACACAATGGATTACTACTCAGCCATCAAAAAGAATGAAATCTTGCCATTTGCAACAACATGGATGGAACTAGAGGGTATCATGCTAAGCAAAATAAGTCAGAGAAAGACAAATATCCTATGATTTCACTCATGTGGAATTTAAGAAATAAAACAGATGAACATAGGGGAAGGGGAGAAAAAATAAAAAACAGAGGCAAGACCTAAGAGACTCTTAACTGTAGGGAACAAACTGAGGGTTGCTGGAGGGGAGGTGGGTGGGAGGATGGGGTAACTGCATGATGGGCATTAAGGAGGACTCATTATATCTAATAAGTACTGGGTGTTATATGAAACTGATGAATCACTAAACTCTACCCGTGAAACTAATAATACACTATATGTTAACCAAATTAAATGTAAATAAAAAATTTTAAAAAAGAAAATGGTCCCTTTCCTCTTAAAGCTATCCAGGGTACTGGATATATCCTCCAAAACCATCCTTTCTTTTGTGTGATTCCATGCTCATCAAGGACCTTTTTAAAATATAAATTCACCCTCACCAAAAGCTTAATACTCATAAAACAAAATACTACATTGCTGAGATCAGCTTTCTGGTTAAAGTATCAACATACCCCTATGGAATTCGTAATTAATTAGTTAGCTTGCGTGAAACCCCTAAGCCTTGATCAATTCTGATTAACTGGTTAGGTGTAATTTCTCAAACCTCAGAGCTGAGAATCAAATACAGGAGTGCAGTTATGTCCATACGAAGATGATAACTGCCAAAGGAGTTGCTAGTTTATCCTCAGGCAACATGGAGTCATTTCATCATGTCCTACCAACTGCAATATAATCAACTCATAAAACTGTTAAGAATAGGGGCGCCTGGGTGGCTCAGTCGTTACGCATCTGCCTTCAGCTCAGGTCATGATCCCAGGGTCCTGGGATCCAGCCCCACATCAGGCTCCCTGCTCAGTGGGAAGCCTGCTTCTCCCTCTCCCACTTCCCCTGCTTGTGTTCCCTCTCACTGTGTCTCTGTCAAATAAATTAATAAAATCTTTAAAAAAAAACTGTTAATAAATAAAACATAGCGTGTAACACCGCTTCTCAAACTTTAATATGCATCTGGATCACCTACAGATCTGCTAAAATGCAGACTGATTCAGCAGGTCAGGGGCAGGGACTGAGATTCTTCATTTCTGATAAGCTCCCAGGGATGCTCAGGCTGCTGTCCACAGACCAGGAGGGGATATAAAACACCTGGAAACAGGTCTGGGCCAACGGGCTGCCCAGCCCAGCTAACTGTTCTCTCCCCACCATGGATGTCTTACCTCCTTTACTGATCTCACCTTTGTTGAAAGAAGATAGTTCTTTTCACCTTTGCATCCTTCAAAATTCTCACCTAATCAGAACGCCTTCCATAGGCATTAAATATATGCCAACGGAATGAATGACATCCAGCTTTTGTCATTACTTCTATACTTATGAACAGAACTGTTTCTTCCTCTGAATTTATTCTAATAGAAAAGTATTTTTGAAAACTGAAAAATCAGAAAAGCTATTTTTTAAGTAAAGAAAAATTGTATTTGCAACGTGATCCTGTGCATGTAAATAATAACTAAATCATCTGGTTTTCTGGGGAAGTTTTAAAAATTTGTCTTAAAGCGGCGCCTGGCTGGCTCAGTTCGAAGAGCATGTGACTCTTGATCTCCCGTCCGAGAGGTTCAGCCCCACACTGGGTGTAGAGACTACTAAAAAAACAAAAATAAACTCAAGAAACTAAAAATAAAACCCTTTAAAATTAGACTTTAAAAAAAAGTAATCACTTCCTTCAGGTGTTTTTAAGACCGCACAATAAAAAAATTAGGCCATCTTGGTAAAGGTAACATCTAGAACACACTTCCGACTCTTCAGACTAACAGTCCTATAAATAAATCAAATAGTATTACTCTTATCCATAGGTAGATCTTTGGCACAGTTTCCACCGTTTCTCCGCCGATTTGCTGTGATTTTTGCCAAACAAGTGACTGACTACCTCGGGGCTGGTTTCTGCGCTTGTAAATGTTAAGTCGATTACACTTGGCTGCAGGCTGAGAAAAATGCCACGTGACGGTGTTTGCAGCACCCCAGAAAGGAAACAGGGACGGAGTATACTTTCATTTCTAAGATGTTTACCTCGACGGTTTGACCGGTTTTTTACACGAATGTGCCAGTGAGCACACATACACAAAGTGTTACTTTTGAGCGACCGAGGAAGGGGCCCGAGGCTCGGGTTGGCACTGGCACAACGTCCAGGGTCGCCGCTCAACTTGGACGGCCAGGGTTCCGCCGGCGCGCCCGCAGCCCAGCCGCCGCCTCCGTGCTGCTCTCCGGCCCTCCTCACGCGGCCGAGCGCGGGTGCTCCGACCAGCCCCCCACGGGCGCGCGTTTCCGAGGCTGCAGGCGCGGAGGGGGCGCCCGCGAGCCGGAGACCGTCCCCCCACGTCCCCTCACGTCCCCACCGAACAGGCAAAATGGAGGCGGCGGGCGCGTTCCCGCCGGGCGGGGCTTCGGCGCGGCCCGAGGGTCCGCCGGACGCGGGCGGCCAGAGCCGGTCCTTCCCCCGGGCCGCCCCAGGTGTCTGCAGCCCGGCAGCCGCCGGCGTGGCGCCTGCGGCACAGAGGCCGGGGCGAAGCCGTGGAGGTGGGGTGCCGGCGGCGGCGAACAAGGACGCCATTATCGGCCTCGCCCGGTGGAGCCGCGGCTCGCAGCTCCCGAGGAGGGGGGCGGTGGGGGAGGGGAAGGAGGGTGGGGACAAGAGGAGGGAGGGGGCGGGGCTCAGGCGTGGGCTGGGAGGCTGCGGGCGCGTCAGTGGGCCCCTGACCTGTGGGCTCTCTCCCCGCGGGGCAGACTCCACTGGAGGGCGGCCCACCCCGCCCGGCGCGCCAGTGCGGGCCCGGGTAGCGGCGGGCGGCTCTTACCTGTGCCTTCCCTTTCTTTATCGTCCGCCATCTTGTTGCGGGGCCGTCGCCCGGGAGATGCCTGGCGTCACCCTCGGACGCGGCGTCCTTGCCCCCTCCAGCCCCCGCGCGAGTCTGGCCTGGGGCACCGGCGGCTCCGAACCCCGAGGGCGGGAGCCCCCAGGGCGGGGGCTGGGGAGCGGAGGAAGGCTCCGAGCGCGCGCCCGCCCCTCCCCCCAGACGCGTCCCCGTCCCCTCCCCCTCCCGGCCCACTCAGGCCTTGGGGGACGAGGGAGTGGGAGAGCCCCGGGCCCTGCCTTCCCTCCTGACCCGCGTGGGGACTCGCAGGCCCGGCGCCCTCCCCGCCCGTGGCTACGACGTGGCGCCGCGCGGGTTTTTCCACTACGGACTTGAAAACGCGGCCGGAAAGCCGGGGTCGGACTTCGCGGCTGCCCCGGAGGCCGGGACGCCGGGCGGGCGCGGGGGGCACCCCAGCCGGCACCCCCGCGGCGGGCGGCGGCGGCGCGAGCCCGGGGCCGCCGAGCAAACACGGCGTCGTCAAGGCGGCAGTTGCTGACACAAACTGGAAGGTTCTCATGGCAACGGAGACGTGCCCGCCCGGCCGCCTCGACACCGACGTTAAATGTCCTAGCTCGTGAGGTTTGACGTGACCTCCAGCTAAGGTTACTACGGAGAAGTTGTACCTCCCGCGTTTCTGCAACTTGGCAGCTGTCGCAGGATGTTAGATTTTTGTCTCGGCTTAAGGATAAGCTCGTTCTACTAGAACGTTTTCTTTCTGAAATGATTTTTTGAATTAAACGAATATAAGATTTTAAAGCTAATCTTGGATGATTTTTAAGTGCATTCGCGTGCTAGCTTAAAGGACGTTATGTGAAAATGTATGAACTGTTAACTGTAAATGTTGAAGCCTTCAGAGTACAAGGTACTAGTATGTGCTGATTTTCTTAACATACTTGTCATGCTCCTTTTATTCTGTTCCTGTAATCGCTCAGTAAACCCGAAAGCAAACTTTTTAATTAAAATATTTTTTCTATAGAATATACTCATTTGGTGCTATTACCCGCATTCTCTTTGAAATTGATGAGAAACTTAAATCATCGCAAAATGGCTTCTGTTACAAGATAGGTACTTACATAAAATGAATACGGTTGTTTACAGTAAATTCTGGACTTCTAGAATACGGGAGAGTAATCATTAGCGTTCACATAATATTTAAATTTCGTAGTGATTATAGTCTAGTAGTTTGTTTTTAAAGACGCCCTCTTTGCATACAGATAATGAAGGGCTTTGAAATAAACGTAGGAAAACCTCAGCTTTGGGCTCAGGTTGACTTCTCACTCACTGTGCCTTGAGGCTGTTTGCAGTTTCCTTTTTCTGGAATGCCTCCCCCCCCTCCCCCCCCGCCCCAACATTCACCCTCCCACAGACACGCGTCTGCTCCCTCCCAGTTGTCAGTGACCTCCTTGAAGGTCACCTACTCCTTGAAGCTTAAGCTTTCCGGATCAACCTCCTCCTCTGTGGTCCAGAACTCATATTCTAGAGCCTCTTCCATTGATTTGCAATGACTTTGTATATTTGTATTGTAAGCTCTTGAGGACAGGAAACACTTTGTCCCCATATCCCCAGTGCCTACAACAATTTTTCAGTTCTTGTGTCTGAAATAATATGTTTTAAAAATTAAACTGGAGTTAGTCTTTTCAATGACTTAAGAATTGATTATTTAAATTATTCCAAACCATATTAATCTCTACTTCTCTGAATTCCTACAGCAGATTTAAGACAATACTGTCTCTCTAAATTGGGATGAGTAAAACAGTGTATATTAATTAACCCCTCCCCTCCAGTTAGGTTTGAAGACAGAAGCCTGATCATATAAATCTTTTACGTGTACCCACAGTACCTCACCTAATTTGGGACACGTATTAGAAGATTAATACATATTTTTCAATTAACTAATTAGCTGATACACATAAAAGTGTATCATTCTGGAAAACCACAAAGTGAAAAAAAAGTGGGTATCCAAATGACAAAATAGAGGCCCACAATGCCAATGAGTAATTATCTGCATTATGCTACCTGACTTGACTTTCCACTTTTCTTTGGTTGTGGAAAACTGACTTCTAATTATGTTACAATTTTAATTCTTTTAAAATATTAGCTTGTTTTGGACAACACCAGACTAACCACAACCATTTTTTCCCTTTAGGTTATATTTGTTTTTTAACTATGGCTTTGAGTAACTATGTAATACTGTATGCCACTCAAGCGGTCTTTCACTTACGATTCTCAGAGTCATTTTTCATGAGTTTTTCTGAAATTCCAAACTGGAAGATTATTTTTGGTCCCACTCAGACATTATACAATCTTAGGGCTAAATCAAACTACTAGCCTATTAAAAAAAAAAACCAAGGGCATAGTTTTAGACAATGACATGCTTGATTATTCAGTGGGGCCCGATGGATATGTACAGGTTATGTCCTTTTGCGTGTTTGAATTTATAGTGAGTTAAATCTGTACACACAGGCGCCGGTTCCATGCTGGTGAGGGGACACATTTCTTCCAAATACAATTGACTCAGTTACCTAAGATGTGGCTGAAGTGGAAAGGATAAGTGGTGTAAGGCAAAATAAGTCAAAAAAATCTTTATACCACGTCTACTTTCCTATTCTGGGGATAATTGAAACCTCCTTGGATTAGGAATAATTAAAAAAACAAAAATGGATTTTCCTTGGGCATTGCCATGGACTGACATGATCCTCGGCAAGTCATTTATTTCATCTCTTTAAAACTCCATTAACTTGTGGCACCTGGGTGGTTCAATCAGTTAAGCAGCTGACTCTTACTTTTGGCTCAGGTCATGAGCTTAGCGTCCTGGGATCGAGCCCCCAGTGGGGCTCTGTGCTCAGCGTGAGTCTGCTTGTTCCTCTCTCTGATCTCTCTCTCTCAAATAAAATCCTTTTAAAAAATAAAAAGTAAAATAAATAAAACTCTGTTAACTCATGGGGCGCCTGGGTGGCTCAGTCAGTTAAGTGGTCTGCCTTTGGCCCAGGTCAGGATCTCAGGATCCTGGGCTCCCTGCTTAGCAGGGAGTCTGCGTCTCCCTTTCCCTCTGCCCTACCCCCTCACTGCTTTTCTCTCTCTCTCTTTCTGTCAAGTAAATAAAATCTTTAAAAACAAAACAAAAACTCTGTTAACTCAGAAAAATAGAAATGGCAATGTCCAAACTCCCTGTCTTGGAGTTTCCATGAGACCCAATAGATATAACTGAAAGCCTTTCAAAGCTTAAGCACTTGTAAGGAAATCCACATTCTTTGAGATAAACCCCCACTTCCATGTAGGAAGGAGCCCTCAGAAGTCGAACTCCAACTTCTTTCCTGAGATTCAGCTTCTCCTGGGAGAGTTTGCTTTTCTAGTGCTTTCCTACACAACAGGAGGTGGTCTGATTCCAGGCCTCACACCCTTCACTACGAGAATCTGCTCCCTGCGTGACATATGTAGTCTACATGATAGAGCTTGGCATCTTCGGTGTGCTGCCCCTTCCTGGTTTCCACCTTCCCATTTTTAAACCTCAAGCAGGAGTGGCTTTAAGCATATCTCAACTCCTTGAGCTCTAGACCCAGGAAATGATAGAGAGACAGTTGCTTCCCTGGTTTGTCTAATTCCAGTTTCCTAAAGAAAGTTACAACACCTCCCTAGATGATTAACATCAAGAAGGTCCAGCCCTGGGGCGCCTGGCTGGCTCAGTTGGTAGAGTACGCAACTCTTGATCTTGGGGTGGTGAGTTTGAGCCCCGCACTGGCTGTAGAGATTACTTAATAAAATCATAAAAAAAAAAAGTCCAGCCCTTCAAGATACTATCCCTACCTATAGGTGAGTAGCCTTATCCTGGGATCTCAAAACGAAAACCTCATCAGAATACAACAGAATAACGGTTTGGTTTCATTACAGTTATAGCAATAAAAATAACTTCTAATTACTTTGTATACATTATCTCTTAATCCTTATGAGGCTGATACTGGTATCCCTGTTTTACAGATGAAAAAGCTACATCTTCCCATCAATGGCCTGCTGAAAGGTCTCAGTCAACAAGAGAGCTGCCTAGGAATCTAGTTCTGATTCTAGAACCCCTGTGCTATACCGCTTCTTAATATATCATTGTTATATCCTGTTTAGTAACCTGAATATTTAGAGAAGGGCAACCATCCTGGGCAGAATTAGTCACCTTCTTCCCCACTTTTTTTTTTTAGCACTGCAAAACATCAACCAAAGCAACGGACAGACTCTTAGGGACACTTGAGGGAACCAGATAATGCCATACACATTGTCCCCATCTGGACAAAGACTTGAAGTCCTAGCTTTCCGATGGCAGAAGAGGAGGCAAAACTCACTCTTTCTGAGAATGACCCCCATGACCCAGTGGTCTGCTCATCTTCTCGTCCCTCCCCACCTCCCTGCAGACTGAGATTTCAGACCTCTGGAGAAGGAGGGAGAATTGTGTTACATTCTTGGCCCCGGACAAGAGCATTTTCAGAGCCAGAGATCCTCTGGGCTTTTCAGGGAGACCCAGAGCAGGAAGCCGGGACTGCAGCCCTTGCGGGCATCTTGAAAATAAATGTTACGTGAAACCACAGCTCTTACAGCATTTAGAAAAATCACACTCCTGGACCTATGTTTCTCAAAAGCACGTTTCTTTCTGTTTCACTTCAAAACACACATTGACACGGCAAGTCACTGTTTAATTCATTACTTAAACATTTCCTGTCCTAAGCGGCACTTTTCAGGGACCCTTAGCACTAAGCAAATTTTGGTGAGTCTCTGTTTTCTTCTTCATTGAAAAATAAGACCGGAGAGGTGAAGGGTGGTGGAGCTGACCCAGAGAGTCAGTAAATGTTTATGACTGCTCACATAAACTCTTACCCCCGAAAAGTGTGAAACATAGAGAAATAGCATAGAATGATGCCGGTAATTGACTCGGGAATGATTTTTTAGTTCCACCTCCAAAAAATAAATCTTGGAAAATTAAGTTTCACTGATGTCAACATTTACATAAGGAGATAATGCAGTGTAGAAGAATCAAGCTAATAGATTAAACAGACCCAGGATTGAATCAAACTACACATTAGCTATTTGACTTTGGACATGTTATTTCTCCTCTGGAAACTGTTCCCCCACCTGTGGTTATGTGGAGGTTAGAGGGACATATGGAGACGACTGACCAGTTGGGACATGAAGCCACCTCTATAGCACCCTTAACTTCTGGCCTGATTTTATTTCTTTGGACTATGGCCAGCTGAGTCTTCAATGGCTCCCGGGCCAGTAGAGATACTATTTGGGGCACTTACAGTGTTCTAGGAACTTCACTGCGCAGTTTACGCGGACTATCCAGCTTACTCATCACAATACCCCTGTAAGAAGGTGACTAGTATGATACCCATATTAAAGATGAGGAAACCCAGAGTGAAGATCTCCAAATTGCTTCTCTAAAAGGAAAAGTCACTTTTCTACTGTTGTGCCCCAAAGTCTCTCCTGATTTTCCTGGATTTTTCATTTCCTCCCTCTGCCAGGTCCCAGGGACTG